ACTGAATTTGTTCTTTTGAAATTTAAAAAAAAATTAAATGAACTGAATTCATGTGGTTGAATTATAAACATGCACCTTAAAATACGTATGTTTTGGAACTGAACCTTGGAAGCCGAATATTTTTGTACTGAACGTTTACGCAATGAAATTGAAATGTTTTCAGTTGAAATGTTCAATGTTTAAATGTATGCACATATTAAATTACAGTCCCCAAAAATTCAAAGCGTCATTAATGCAATGCGTTTTTATTCTTTAAGTGTAATTCAACGTGTTTTTTTCATCAACGACTTTTGTCATTAATTTACTTCACCTCTTGGTCGTCAACTGCGAGTGACGTCACTCCCCATACAATCACGCCCCACGGTATAGACCCACCCCTGACGCTGATTGACAGGTTTCCGTGTAAGGCGTCGGAAATTCAAATGCAAAATGAATTGCGATTGCGTTTGAGTTTTAGCAGGCTACATACGCGACGCAGAGTAAGCGAAAAAGCAGACGTGGTAATTGATTTTGCTATTTAAATATGACAGGCTCATAACCTGTAAGACGTGGGAAATGCAATTGCAAATGAACTTTGCTTTTTCATTTGAAATTTGGCAGTCAGTGTTCATTCGCGAAAGCGAAAAAGCAAACGGTATTGCAAAATTTGCAATTGCATTTGAATTATGTCACACTTTATGAGTCCACATAAGGAAAACGCAATTGCAAATGCAATTCCTTTTGCAAAATGTCCGGGATTTCCCTCCATAGTTATTAAGCAACATTTACATTTGGCTGTGCCTTTTCAACTGATGTTGCACATGTCACTGGTCGTTTGTTGTGCCAGTAAACTTTTATGTTTAATTTTTAATCTGACTGATTTTCATTCAGGTGCGGGTCGGGTGTCGGTATTTATTTATAACGGATCGGGTGCGTAATTTTATTTTATTTCTGGCGGATAACGGTTCGGATACGGGTTTAAGTATGACGGGTATGGGCCCGTGCAGGACTCTGCTGCTGGGTGCAGCAATAATCATATAAACAATTTTCATATAAATAATAAATTATTTATTATTTGACGCGACTTCATTACGTCCTTTTTGCGGGCGAGGAACGGAAATTTCTGCGGTAGGGCGGTATAATCAAAATCTCTCCCGTTGGCCAACCAGTTGAGTACCGAGTTGACTGTGATTCTTTATACTCAACTGGTTGGTTGAAATTAAATCTTGGTCTGGATTTGTACTCTCTGGACCTGAAATCTCCACCTCTGGTTCTGCACTCATGCATGGACTTACTCTACAAGCTGCTCTGTTACTGTATGATTAGCAGTGCAGTATTTGTACCTCACCATTGCCCCCTTGTTAGAATTTTCCAAGGATGTGGGGGGGACAAATTTTATTTTACGATACAGGATGTTCCCGTACAATGCAGGATAATCCTGTGTAATCCTTACAGTCAGGGATCTGTGATGTTATTTTGGTACCGGGTCAGGATCTGCTGTTTTATCTGCATCAGTCTCACTGTCTGTTTTTTCTTTCCTGGACAGCGAACAGAAATAGGCGATCATTCAGCATAATATCTGAACTCCTGAATTTACATTAAACAGAAAATCACTACGCAGGCCTTCTCTTCCGCACCAAGGTGAGCAAATGCTACTGTAATGCTTTTGTTTGTAGTGCATCACTGAGGCAGACAGCTTAAAGACCCCACCACCACCACCAGGAGGAGAGCTGAGTCCAGTGTGGAACTGAACTTACTCAGTCTTCGATTCCCAAATAAATCAGCTTTACCTGAACTCTGCAGTGGTGAGAGAGAGATGTGGGGGGCATGGCTGGACTAAGACATAGAAATGGGGGAGAGGTACAGATGGGGGGACGGGAGATACTGGGCAGACAGGGACTTTACCGGACTATTTGCATGTATAATCTGGACTATACATAAAAGACTTTGATACTCAGAAGGCTTCGATGTCTAACCCAAAAATATTGATTTAGCAATTAATATGTGTAGGTGTCAGATAGTTTTACTCCCAGACCTGCACTAAGCCCAGCTTCACACTGATACACTGACACCCAGACCTGCACTAAGCCCAGCTTCACACTGATACACTGACACCCTGCTCCTCACTATCAGTGACTGATGCCTTACCATGACTCTAAGCCCGCACTGAGAGGTAGGTAGTGAAGATCACGCTATAAGGTTGTGGATAAAAAAAACATGGTCTAGAAGTATCAGCAGAATGAAGAGAGAAAACTGTGGGCAGTGGTGGCTTAATGGTTAGGGAAGCGTGCTTGTAATTGAAAGATTATAGGTTGAACCCCTGACCAGCAAGGCATCACTGAGGTACCCTGTGCAAGATATTGCCCCCAAGCACTGCTCCCTGGGTGCTGAATTACCTGCCCCCTGCTATGCAGAGAACATATTTCATTGTTGTGTGTCAACAATGACAGTTAATCACTAAATTCTAAAAAAAAAAAACAACAAACATGAAATGTGAGAGTGTTTGTGCCCTGCCTGGCATCCTGGTCCTAGGGTGTGTCCTGGATTAGTCTCCAAGCTCACTGTGACTCTGTACTGGCTAAGTGGTTATGGAAGATGGATAGATAAAAAGCCTCATGTAAAATGGTTTTGTGTGGATTAAAGTCTGGCTGAAAGCAGAATTCAAAACAAGATGTTAACAGGTATTTTACACCAGCTTATTGGGTGAGTAAATCAGGAAAAAAGGGTAGGTTAATGATAGACATACAGGACTATATGAAGCATGGAATGCATGCAGCACAAGTCACTCCAAAAACTATCCAGAAATGGAAAGGCTTTTTTATGGAATCATAGTCTGCTTTCAGGTTTGATGTTGCATCATGCACACCACTTAGGAGCATTACTAGAGACGCTCAAGAGGGTCTGATTTTAATGCAAATGAATTAGACCCCCCCTCTAAAAAAGCCCTAGCGACGCCCCTACATATTACTTAACTGCAGTGGTGATTTAGAGTGGTGCTGTATATCTCCCGTGCAGTAGGTGGCAGTCGCACGTTTCCAGCCGGTCTCACATCACCGGAACTTAGGAAGAAGAAGAAGAAGAAGACAAGTCGCGCGGCGGGAGTCTGCTGTGTGAATGCGGAGTGCCCGTTGCTGTATGGGGACAAGTTCAATGTTTTATATTTTGTAAGGCTTTGCGCGGGATTTCAGTGATTTGAGGTAAATCTGTATTTGCAGACCGCTTTGGCGGATGAACAACCCAGCATGGTTCAGATCGTTGTTTCGAGGTGTGTATAATACTATGCGATGCTGCTTTTTCATGATGGGTTCACTTCTTTTCAGTGAATAAGTTCTAACCATATTAATTTCATTTGCCTGTGACGCGTATACAACCGCTTGATCTCTTCCAAAACTGATTGTCAAACGAGGTTCAGGACACTTACGTTTCATGATTTAAAAAAAACAAAAAACTATTCTTTTTTCCACATTTAGAAAGATCGTTAAATCAGTAAATTTGCAGTTGGGTCCATTGTAACATTTGAGGTTTTATACGGCTGGTGGTAAGGCTTATGACTGTGTCAGATTTTGGTGATTTTGAGTAATGACCCGCCATGCCCTCTGGGTGACAGTGTTGGGAACAGCCCCGGAGAATGGCTGCTGGTGGAGCTTCAGGGGGAGATGATGTCCAGGCAGAATGCGGGACTGGCTGGAAACTTGATGGGTGACCTGCACTACACCAAAGAGGTACAAGAAATACTAGCTGGAGTAGCGGTAGTTCTACCTCTGTTTTCTGTCTACTTCTTCCTGGATGTAAATGTCTTTGTGTGTGTGTGTCTTCAGGGCATACCTGTACTCATTGTAGGACATCACATCCTGTATGGGAAGCAGGTTAAGCTGGAGAAGCCATTTGCTGTGCTGGTGAAGCAGTCTGGCCTTCCACAAGGTGCTGATGTCTCCATGGAGTCCAGTGTACAGAGCCCCACTGTATACACAGTTTCTGCCCTCATAAAGAAGAAGCTCATCTTCAAGACCCGGCCCAAGCCCATAATCACCAATGTGCCCAAGAAAGTGTGAATCCCCTGCCATGTGGTGCCAAACATGGCAGTAGAGCAGGTGCACTGAACACTGCATGCTGATAAGGACTGTACAGCAGATCATTACATCAGATTTATATGAGTGTGTGCCATGGGATCTGACTTGGACACTAGGGGGTGCTGTTGTACTGGCTGAGGGCCCTCTGGGGTCCCATGTTAATACTCACATCTCCAGGATGACCTCACACAATAAGAATGGTATATTCAATAGAACCAGCCCGACACACAATATTGGTATTTCAGTGAATGTACATCTTGGTGAACTGTGCACTTAGGGGAAGTCTGTAATATGCATTGCATATTGTAGTTTTCTATTTAGTGCAATAAATGATCATCCAGTGGAAAAACTGCTTTCCACCTATACGGTTTCTTATGCAACAAACTTGGTCATGTTTATTCATCTTAGATTACGGAGAGCCTTTCTTTTGTGTAGGAAGTGTTCTACATTCTGATTGGATTGTACGTTAATTGGAATTAGAACCTTAAGCTCGGAGCCACTGATAAGGCTTGTAACAAGTGTAGCTTACGACTTTGTCTGAATGATACACACATAACACCTTAACTGGAATGAACATGATTCGATCAAGTCGAACTGAATGGGGGAGAGTGTGTGCCACAGAAGATAGGCAGCGGGGTTGGAAACCAACGTTCCAGTTCTGCTGGATTTTTTAAGATCTGCTGACCCTGTGAGCGCGCGAGCTGGAATTGCCGAGCTAAAGCTGAAAAGTCTGCTTGGTGTGGGGTACGGCATGGGAATTTCTGTCTGCCGTCACGCTTGTCTGGTCTTCAGCAATAAGCGGCGGAGCTTATCGACTGAAGACCGAAGGAATTAAACGCGAACCATCTCATCTCGTTATCACTGGTCTTCGTTTTTTCCGACCGTCCTGTTGCTCTCTGCGCTCCGGTCGCAAGAGGCGTTTTGTCCGGAACCCTATGAACTTTTCATAAAATGTGCAACTTTATTTCTGCATGTGACGGCGCGTTGTTTCAATAAACGTTTCTGCAACGCAATATGCAGATTGAGATAGATACAGCAAAGGGGAAGTGCTAAGCGTGGACACTGGTGTGACCAAATAATTAGTACGTCTAAATGAAACTGAAAATGACAGAACATAAACAACTGGAACCCGCAATTGCTGTCGATTGGTACTTTTCTTTTAAGAAAAAGGATGTAAGACTTAACTCCTTATGAAGGCATGAGAAAACTTGCGTTTCTACCAACGACTGGTTCTTAAGTAATCTTAACACGTTTTAGTATCGGGTATACCTGGTGTAATCACGGTTCTGGTTTATCTAGACAGAGTGTGACATTAACACCTGATTTTTGAAAGGAAAAAAAAACGCTCGTAACCGTAATTAAAATGTCGAATCAGAAGATGTACGATACACATTAATGCCTACAAGCTACAAATGAACATAATTCAGATAGTTTTATGTGATTATCCGTTTATTAGTTACGGAAATATAATAAATTAAAATAACTTACATTCGCACGCTGCATGTGAGTAGACACATCATGTCAACATAGGGTTAATGACCTAACACATTATTCATAACCCTCACGGCTGACATTCTTTTTGTTCCAGTGCCCAATAAATAGATACATAAGCAGAATTTAAAAGTAACAAAAATTTCCCCACTTGTTATATATCCAGAGCATTACCTAATTTAAAAATAAATTAATTTTAATAATATTAAATTAATCATATTCACATAAATTGATTTCATATTCTACATATACATACTGTATATAGGATACAGACTACAAATGGCAGCCCTCGTTAAAAAACATGTGAAACCATGTTATCTTATATAAGACATAGCCTAATAATTATAATTAATGTTATCTGTTAAATAACATTGGTGCATTTTAAAACAAATACAACATGACGTGAAACAAGTCACTACGGGTTGTCTTTTAAGAGCTGACCATCCCTCAGGATACTGAGTTTAACTTCTTGGTATAACGCAGGTACAGCCAACCCCGACCTCCAGCGGTACGTACTGCAGTGAGTACTTCTGGGGGTCGGACAGACATGCGGTGATCGTCGCCACCATGACGGTCTGCTTCACCAGCTCGGAGCTGTAGCCGAGGTTCTGCTCACCGTCGATAAGGCAGCCTTCGCACAGGCATTCCGCCATCGCGATCCTCGCGGGGTACCTGTTGTCATCCACGTCAATCCTGTAGCGGAGCGAATGGGGTGGTTCAGCCATACAAGCCTACATCTACCTTGTGATATCAACAGGGCTGTCAACTCTGTCAGCTGGCTGGCGTGAGATTTTCTGTTCGAGACACGAATTTACATGTATGTGGTAGTTTTATCACCTTGTACAGTCTGTAAGGATCGCTTTTGATGCAGCTAATTTTTGGTTTATAATGGAATATTTTTAATTTGCCGTAAGATTTCTTGCGCGAGCGTGAGCATCTGAAAGCGTAAGTGTCACGCCAAATCCGTCAGAATTGGCAGCCCGGTATCTAACTTCCTGGAGAACGCGGTGTGAAAATAATACAGGTGATAAGGACATGAGACAGGAACCCATCTGACGGATAGCTTTGATTACCTTACCTGTACTTCCACGGGGACAGAGCCCGATTCTTTAAGTCTAATGACGAGGGCTTCATCTTAAAATTTTCACAGGTGTGCGTCTCATGGTCTTTTTTCTCCACGACGTAGGGATTCTGAAGCGTGAAGCCCGACCGAAGCAGGTGTTTCCTGAGGAATGGCTTTCCGTGCATCTCAAGCTCGGCTTTATTGAAACAACCTTTGTGGCTACCTTTTGAAGAAAACGTAAGGCCAAGACACAATGCCACGCAGTACAGGACCTATAGAAATAAAATTCATATATTAACATGTGGAGTTACCGGGTCAGAAATGAAAGCAATCATTGTGTCTAAATAAAATAAATAAATAATTAAAGCAAATTATAAATTTCAAAAGGAGAAAAGTCAAATTTAACGCCAACTTACCCTCATTATTCTGCACAACATTTTAAAGTAAGGCAGCTTAACCGAGGACATCCGTCAAAGAAGGTTATCTTCTGTGCCATATTGTGTGCAATTTATAGGGATCCTTTTTGTCCCGGGGAAATCCGACTTGGCATGAGGAAACGCTAAACGGTACCACAAGGCGTCTCCTACCTGAAAAAAAAATCCACGTCTCAATCCGTCCTGCCCCCTATGTTAACTTCTTTTTTTTTTTTTTTTTTTTTACAGAAACCCATCATTTCCCCTCTTATTTAAAATAACAACACATGATTCCTTGTATATATTTAAAAAGGTATCGCCTTGTAAAAATGTAATATATGCCAGTTACATTTGTAAAATATTATTATTTTTGTTATTATATCAAATTATGAAATATATAGGTCTATTTATATATGTGTTAGAACAAATATTATGTATACAAAATAAATTTTTACAAGAGTGTACTTTAGTGTAGTAGTGTATTCGAACAATAGGGAATGCATGGGAGATGTTGAAAACTTTGATATCGTGGTTTTTTTTAATTCCTCAGGAAAGCAAATTCAACAATTAACATCGTTTGCCTGATTCTCTATTAATCTTTATTCTTTATTGTAAATAAGTTCACTTAGCCTAAACGGTTTCTCTTTCACGTGTTTCAAGTGTTCATTGTACCAAATGGAAACAACTTCATCTGAGTTCTCTATCTATCTATCTATCTATCTATCTATATTCATTATAACTGTCCTGTAAAATAATCGAAAAATAATCGAACGCAGAATAACGCGCTACAAGCAGGTGTCTAGATGATGGAGACGTTTTCCTGGCTCCACCCCTTTTAGTTTGGCTGTCATAAAGGTGCGTTTCCAAGGTGATGGAAAGCCCGTCATGCAGCAAATTCCCAGAGTCCAGTGACACCATAGCCAGCTACAAAAGGCATCGCAGTGTAACTTCCTCTGTCTGTGTGTGTACCAGAGCATCTTCTGATCCCATACTGTTCTGAAACACTTGATCTCTCTCACTGGTCAGGTGGTGCGACCCTGGAAAGTTCTCTGAAAGCCAGTACTTTTCCAGTGTTAATAAACATTGATTCCTACCAACAGAGTGAGAGAGTCACTACACAACATTGTGTAATTGAGTATTTTACCAGACAACAATGAACTAGTATCAAGTGATTCCTCAGTATTACCTGACTGGTGATGTGTTTATCTCCATCTATTCAGTCCATGTCCAGGGAGAATAAAACAGCGCAACTAGTTCCTGTTGCTTGTGGGCTAATTCTTGCTGACAGACAAAGAATTATCCAAAAATCCAGGAACTAAAAGTAATTCCTTTATTTCTTTTGTTACATAAAGCAAAGAAGAAAAATTCAGTAAGTCAAGAGTTACCTGTCACATGGTAAGAACAGTTTTATTTTATAATAGTTTGTTCATTATACACATTATAAATCCCCCGCTGTCCTTTTTTCCCCCAAATTTGATATCTTTGATATCATACAACCCCATCTGTGACTCACTAATGGTTCCAAAGGATTTGTCCCTCATTCTAGTGTTTAACCCTTATACCTAATTTAACAGGCAACCAGTTTAGGGAGGTGAAGAGAGAAAATGTAAAAATCAGCGCTGAAAAATGTGGGACACATTCACACACGCATACACCAAGAGGACAGTGACGGCCAGTGATAACTCGACCATTGGTGTCAGCTGGTCACATATAGTAAATACTGCCAAGTTGGTGCTTTTCCAGGGCCTTTTGTCATAAGCTCTAAGAACAGCTGTCGTCCAAGTTATAGATTACTTAAAATATCACTGTTCACTTTTTCAAAGGACGTTGCTAAAAGCCCCTCAGCATGTGTTTTATACAATTCCAGGGTGCAGCAACATCCCTTGATAAGATCTGATAACCAATCTGATAATTTTTTATTTTTTATTTTATTATTTTTTTTTATTATTATAATATTTAACCTACGATCCAAAGATTAAACTACAAATTTACCTGAGAAAATGTGTCGTTTATATCTACTCTTCATTATAAGGTTGTTGTTTTTTTTTCCCTTCTAAGATAGTCATCAGGGGCAGTTTAATGTATAGGCTATCCTACGCTTTATCCAAAAGGCCTGGCAAAAATGTTGCTCACTCTGCTTTGGGAAAAATGGAACTGTTATAGTTAAATCGGCAGCTCCTGAGTGTCCATGCCAATGCTAACCTAAGATAGTGATTTAATGTTGCAGGTCCTGTGTGGGGGAGCTGGATTATTTACAGCAAGTCCTTTAACTTTTAGAGTAAACAGGCCTGAAATAGAAATAATTTGGATTGTTTTAGCTAATGAGGGGGGGGGGAGAGAGAGCTCAGTAGATTTCATCGATCAGGGGGACAGGGACTCATTGGTGGTAGATTTTGCCAAAAGGGAGCCAGAAACAA